GGTGAATTGAGTCGCCCTATAGCAAAAAACCTCTCCAAAAAAAAAAAAAAAAAGTTAGCAATACTTAAATACTATGATATAAAGTTAAGACTTTTAAAATAATGCTCCATTGAACATTTGATTTATTCACGTATTATTGTTATTATTTTTTAATTTGCACAGGGTGCATATGCTTGCCTGAGTGGCCTTTGTTTATTTATTTATTTATTTGTTTAAGGTTTTTGCCATAGGGTGCATGAGCTCACTGGAGAGAGACAGTAAAAGGGAAAGTGAGGAATCACCCCCTGTGGGGCCGGCCACACAGCAATCCCTTCTCCGTTTTCCTCCTGGGATTTTGGGCAACATGCACGTGCACCCAGCCCGATTTTCAAGCTGCTGGGACTCAAACCGGGTTGGCCATGTGGAAGTCCAGCACTATAACCATTATATCACTTGCTGACCCCTATTTATTTATTTTTAATTCATTTATTGTTTTAATTTGTCAGAAGGCATGTGCTCTTGCCAGAGGAAGAGGGAAAGAAAGAGAGAGAGGGGAAAGCACCCCCATGGGGTATAATCATGCTACAATTCCTTCTCCTCTATTTCTCCCTCCTTTTGGGATTTCAGGCATGCACACATAAGTAGCGGGCGCGTTTCCCAAGCCTCTAGGACTGGGATTAGAACTGCGCAGTCAGCCATGTGGGTTCCAGCTGTCTTAACCACCATGCTACCAACTGGCCATCTTTCTATTTTTTTGTTTTTAAGATATTTTTGCCATGGGGCACACGCACTCGCCAGAGAAAGAGAGACAGAGAAAAGAGGGAAAGTGAGAGCTCACACCGCCAAGGAGGGGATGGCCATGCTGCAATCCCTTCTCCTCCATTCTCTTTTTGGGATTTTGGGCACATGCACACACACGCTGGCGTGATTTTCAAGCTGTTGACTTCAGGTCTCAAACTGCAGCTGGCATGTGGGAGTCTAATGCACCACCCACCACGCCAAATGCTGGCTCACCTCTTTCTATTTTTTAATGCCAGAATGTGTACACGTGCACAAGAGAGAAAAAGCATTGCCCTCCCCTCTTTGCTCCCCTCCCTGCACCTACTCCGCAAGCCTGGTCACACCACAATTCCTTCCCCTCCAGTTCTCCATCCTGTCAGGATCCTGGGCACGCACGTGCATGTGTGCACCTGGCATGTTTTTCAGGCTACCCTTGTGGGATCAGGCCTCCCCTATGCAATACTCACCGCTGTGCTACAGGGTCAGCCTGTGTTATTATTTTTTTTAATTATTTATTTCATGTTATTTATTCATTCAGTCATTTTCATTTTACCAGAGAAAGACAGACACACAGAGAGAAGGAAAGTGAGAAAGTAAGCCACCAGGTCTGAGCCTTGAACCGTGGTCAGCCATGTGGGAGTGTCTAGCGCCTTAACTGCCATGCCATCTGCTGACCCGTTATTGTTTTAAGAGAGATTTTTGCTGTAGGGCACATATGTGAAAAAATGCAAAAGCAAACCACCAGGTCCAGGACTCAAACCATGGTTGGCCATGTGAGAGTCCAGCGTCTTAACCACCACTCCACCTACTGGCCCCCGAAGCACATAATCATTAACTGAGACTGAAGTAGGTCTTTGCAATACACCAGATGGCCAGAGAGTTTGCCAAATTTCCAATAGCTTTTTGTAAACCAAGCCAAGGCAATAGCACAATAGCTAGTAAGCAAATCTGGGTTGTTGTGTACGGATGAGTAAATAAAACTTCCAATTATGATATGGAGGGAATCTGTTCCAGATTGTCACAGCCACCCACCATAACCGGCCACAGTCTAAGGGCTGGCCCTGGAAATAGTACAGGTACCTTTGTTCTTCGTGTGCCCCAAATCTCAAAAGAATGGAGAAGGGTAGGATTGCTCTCTCTCTCTCTATCTCTCTCTCTCTCTCTTTCTCTGTCCAGGGAGCTCTCAAGCCCTCTGGCAAAATTAAAAAAAAAAAAAAGCTGAGTTGGACACCAGGTAGAGGCACAGGTTTATTCCGGTTCAGAATGGTTTATTCCAGTTAAGACCAGTTTATTCCAGTTTGGACCAGTTTATTCCAGTTCAGTCTGGTGTACACCAGTTCAGACTGGTTTATTCTGGCTCAGACCAGTTTACTCCAGTTAAGATGAGTTTATTTCTGTTCAGACTGGCTTATTCCAGTTCAGACTGGTTTATTCCGGTTCGGACCAGTTTATACTGGTTCAGACTGGTTTATTTCAGTCCAGACCGCTTTATTCCGATTTATACTGGTTTAGACCGGTTTATACTAGTTCAGACCAGTTTATTCCAGTTGACACTGGTTTATTCCGGTTTATACTGGTTCAGACCATTTTTTTCTGGCTCAGACCAGTTTACTCCGGTTAAGATGAGTTCATTTCTGTTCCGACTGGCTTATTCCAGTTCAAACCAGTTTATTCCATTTCGGACCAGTTTATACTGGTTCAGACTGGTTTATTCCAGTTGAGACCGAACCGGTTTATTCCAGTTCAGATGGATTTTTCCAGGTCAGATGGGTTTTTTCTGGTTTATTCCAGTCGAGACTGGTTTATTCCAGTTCAGACTGGTTTATTCTGGTTCAGACCGGTTTGTTCCGGTTTATACCAGTTCAGACCAGCTTATTTCAGTTTATTCCGGTTCAGACCGGTTTATGCTGGTTCAGGCTGGTTTATTTCAGTTCAGACCAGTTTATTACAGTTTATTCTGGTTCAGACCGGTTTATACCGATTCATACTGCCTTATTCTGGTTTATACCAGTTCAGACTGGCTTATTCCAGTTTATTCTGGTTCGGACTTGTTTATTCCAGTTTATACTGGCTCCGACCAGTTTATTCCAGTTGAGACCGGTTTATTCCAGTTGAGACCGGTTTTTTTCTGGTTTATACTGGTTCAGACTGGCTTATTCTGGTTTATTCCAGTTCAGACATTTTTTTTCCAGTTTATTTCAGTTCAGACATTTTTTTCTGGTTTATTCCAGTTCAGACTTTTTCCCCCGGTTTATTCCAGTTCAGAGTTTTATGTTTGTTTGTTTGTTTTTGTTTTTTTAACCTGGGTCTTTTCTGGTTTTTTACCGGTTCAGATGAGTTTTTTCCTGTTCTTACCTGTTCAGACAGACTTTTTTTTTTTCCGGTTCAGACCTATTTTTCCAGTTTATACCAGTTCAGACCGGTTTATTCCATTGAGACTGGTTTATTCCAGTTTATACTGGTTCAGACTGGTTTATTCAAGTTCAGACTGGTTTATTCTGGTTTATACTGGTTCAGACCAGCTTATCTCGGTTTACTCTGGTTCGGACCAGTTTATTCTGGTTCAGACTGGTTTATTTCCGTTCAGACCAGTTAATTCTGGTTCAGACTGGTTTATTTCAGTTCAGACTGGTTTAATCCAGTTCAATCCAGTTCATTCCGGTTTATGCTGGTTCAGGCCAGTTAATTCTGGCTCAGACCAGTTGAGACCAGTTTAGTCCGGTTCAGACTGGTTTATTACAGTTCAGTCCGGTTCAGACCAGTTTATTCCGGCTTATACTGGTTCAGACTAATTCTGGCTCAGACCAGTTGAGAGGAGTTTATTCCAGTTTATACTAGTGTAGCCCAGTTCAGACCGCTTTATTCTACTTTATACTGGTTTATTCTGGTTTATACTGGTTTATTCCGGTTCAGACTGGTTGAGACTGGTTCAGTCTGGTTCAGACCGGTTCAAGCTGGTTTATACTGGTTCGGACCAGTTTATTCTGGTTAAGACCAGTTTGTACTGGCTCAGAACGGTTCAGACCGTTTTATTCTGGTTCAGTCTGGTTCAGACCGGCTAATTCTGGCTCAGATCAGTTAAGACCGGTCTAGTCTGGTTCAGACTGGTTTATTCCAGTTTATACTGGTTCAGTCCAGTTCAGACCGGTTTTATTCGAGTTTATACTAGTTAAGACTGGTTTATTCCGGTTCAGACCGGTTGAGACTGGTTTACTCTGGTTCAGACCAGTTGAGACCGGTTTATTCCAGTTTATGCTGGTTCATACTGGTTTATTCTGGTTCAGAAAGCTGACTTACCTAGGCAGTTTCAGGTTCCTGTCCAGAGACCTTCCTGAACATGCACGTGCCTATGATCCAGCCTGCTGAAGCTGGGGGTGGATCACAGCATGGAGATCCTGTCGGAGGTGTCCCACCCTCTCTCAGAAGAAATAAGCAAACAGGGCCAGCCTGGCAGCATAGTGCTTAAGCACTGTACCTATGGAGCTGGGGCCCACATGACCAATTGTGGTTTGAATCCAACATCCTGACAGGATGGAGAAGTGGAGGAAAAATGATGTGATGTGACCAAACCCATCTACCTCTCTCTCTCTCTCTCTTTCTCTCTAGAAGGTGCATACGCCCTTTGGCAATTTAGAAAAAAATCTTTAAAAAACGAATGGTTCTGAGCCATCACTTCTAGATCTAAAAGAGAATATCAAAAGCAAAAGCAGACAACTATCAATAGAGAACCAGCTTGGGTGGCATGTATCCCACATGTCCAGCTGCACAGTTCAAGTCCTGGACCTAGCAGCTTGGAAATCAGGTTGGAAAAAAAAAAAAAGAAAAAGAAAAAAAAAAAAAAAAAAAAAAAACATGCTGGGCACATGTGCATGTATACCCCAAATCCCAAGCAGAGAATGGCAAAGCGATTATGGCATAGCCATTCCCTCCCTCTCTCTCTGGCAAGCACATGCACCCTATAGCAAAAACAACTAAAATAAACAATAAATAAGCAAAAACAAAAGACTAAAATTGTATGGGATACTTTTGGACATGGTGACACTTTACCAAGCCTGTCCCTTCACAGATTAGGAAGACGGCGAATGACCAAGAGCCTTGGCTTTCGAGAACTTACTTGTCGCACTAGGCTGCTGGCATACCACAATGTCTCTTGAATTGTAAGCAGTTGCCTTAAATCCCAAAGTTCAGGAGCATATCTTTTTGCTAACACTTCAAGTTTATCAGTTGAAGCTTCTGGCTGGTAAAAAGAAAAAAAAAAAAAAGTAGAGAAAAAGTAGGGAGAAGAGAGAAGTAAGTAGAGGGCCAGTATCGCATGCTGCCCACCTGAAAGAGGTGTGGTACAGACATCTTTGAGGGACCTGTAGGGAGACAGAGAGGGGTGGCATGTTTGCACCTCCAGCTAGGGGCAGTCACTCAGGTGTGGTGCTTGACCCCACACTCACTCATTCTTTCCTAACCAGTAACTCTGGCCACCAGGTCTGCGAGGCTTCGGGCGGCCCTACATTAAAACCAACACTCTGCCTTATGTGACCACATGTGACAGGTGGCATTGGAATGTACCAACTCTTATTATTTTATACTTTTAAATAATTATTTAATTTAATTTATTATTATTATTTTCCATTTTGATCAGAGAGAGACAGAGAAGGAGAGAGAGGGAAAGTGAGAAAGCAAGCCACCAGGTCCGGGACTCGAACTGTGGTTGGCCATGTGGGAGTCCAACACCTTTAACCACCACGCCACCTGCTGACACTGGAATGTACCAACTCTTGATTTCTCAACAGCCTTGGCTTTCACCTTGACCTGTGCTCCTCACATGAACACTACCCTGGCCGTGCCAATGATAACGCCTCCTTCTCTGCATTTCACAGCTTCTGCTCCTGCCCGGCCACAGTCACTTCCTACCTTCTACCTTCTCCTTCCACAAGTCTCTCAACCACCATATTTCTATCTTCAGCTCCTACTTATCCTCTGGTTTTGGAAGGCATTTATCAATACCTCTTACTCATTTTAATTTTTTAAATTTGTCAGAAGACAAGAGAGAAACAGAGAAGAGAGAAAAAGCACCCCCTAGTGCAACAGGTCACCCTGCAATCCCTTCTCCTCCATTTCCCTATCTGTCAGGATATGCGACATGCATATACACACGTCTGGTGTGTTTCTCAAACCACTGGGTCCAGGACTTGACCCACACAATCAGCCATTTAGAAGCCAGCTTCCTTAACTACTAGACCACAAGACTGACTGGGTCAAGACCCTTTAAATTCAGAGATGGGGGGGGCAGCTGATGACATGGTGGTTAAGATGCTGTTTAAGATGCTGGATTCTCAAGACCAGCAGTTAGCATAATGGCTATGTCGCTGGACTCCCACGTAGTCAACTGTGGTTCGAGTCCCGGACCCAGCAGCTTAAACTAATGTCGGGAGCGTGTGCGTGGATGCCCAAGATCCCGAGAGGAGAATGGAGGAGAAGGGATTGCGGCGTGACCATCCCCCCTGGGGGGTGATTTCTCACTTTCTGTTTCTCTGTCTCTCTCTGTCTTTCTGGCAAGCGCATGTGCCTTATAGCAAAAAAAAAAAAAAAAAAAAAAAAAAAAAAAAAAAATCCCTCAAAAAAAAAAAAAAAAGATGTGAAACTGGAACAGGAAGGCCCTCTGAGCAGGCTGCCTGGGGGAGGGGCTACTCCTGTGTGACCAGGACACTGTACCTGAATGGCCCCGGTGGTTTAAACTCATGCTGGGTGCGTGTACATACATGCCCAAGATCCCAAGAGGAGAATGGAGGAGAACGAATTGCAGCGTGGCCTTCCCCCCAGGGGATGATTTTTTGCTTTCTGTCTCTCTGTGTTTCTAGCAAGCACATGAGCCCTATAGCAAAAACTTCTCAAAAAAAAAAAAAAAGAAAAGAAAAAGATGCTGGATTCCCACATGGTTGACCAGAGTTTGAGTCCTGGACCTGGCAGCTTGTGTTCTCACTTTTGCCTCTCTTTCTCTGTCTCTCTCTCTGGTGAGCACACATGTCCAATAACAAATTAAAACAATAATAAATAAGACAAAATAAAATAAAATAAGTAATTCTTAAGTAGAAAACAAAAAGAAGTTGGGCCAGGTGGTGGCATCACGGTAAAGTGGACCCACATAGGAAAGGTCTGGGTTCATGCTCCAGGACCTCTCCAAACACTCTGGCCTTGGTCCTGAGCCTGTAGTCTGGGCCACCCGAGACTGGAGGTGGACTGCAGTGGAAGAGCCTGTTGAGGAGTCTGTCTCTGTCTCTATCTCCGTTTCTATTATCAAAGGACTAAAGAAACTTCAAAAACACAACACTAAACCTCAAAAAAAGACAAAAGAACAACAAAACAAAAACAATATAAAGTTAGGCCAGCCCATGGCTTGGTAGTGAAGGGAGCTGGATCCCACATGGCTGACCATGGTTTGACTCCAGCCCCAGCAGCTTGAGAAACACCCAGGCGTGTGTGCATTCATGCCCCAAATCCTGACAGGACGGAGAAACGGAGAGGGGGCAGCATGACCACGCCCCGCTGCGGGCTGTTTCTCTGTCTTTCTCCCCTCGATTGCCGTCTGTCCTCAGCAAGCGTGCAAAAGAAACAAAAGGCAGAGTCCGTACCACCATCTACAGCGACTCAGCTGGCGACTCAGCATCTATGTGACCGGATCTTCTACCAGGGACAGGACTATTGCAACTTCCCACTGATTCAAGCTCACATGCAACTCACACCCACCAAAGATAAACTGCACTTTCCTTTTTTTGTTTCGTTTTGTTTTGGTTTGGTTTTTGAAATAGAGCAGGCACTTGCCAGAGAGAGATAGGGAAAGCGAGAAATCCCCCCCAGTGGGGGATGGCCACGCCGCAATCCCCTCTCCTCTCGGGATGTGTGTGTGCACACACATACACCTGGCATGTCCTGTGAGCTGCCGGGTGTGAGACTTGAAACTGTCGGTGTAGGACCCAGCTGCCCCAACCACCGCACCGCCTGCTGGCCCCACACACTGCACTTTTGATTTAGACTTCCTCATCCCATCTCAGCTTCTATTTTTTACCGCCCTCTGGGCTCCAGTGACATTTCAGCAGCCAGACAGCTCTGGGCCAGCCAGGGTCTCGGGGACACACGTGGTGAGAGATAACCAGGCCCTCCTTTTTTTTTTTTTTAATTTTAGTCTTTTAATATATCACATCCAAAAACCATTTAAACATATGTTATTTTTTAAATAATTATTTAATTTTACTTATTCATTCATTTATTTTCATTTGACCACAGAGAGACCACTGGACCTCTCTGTGCTACTACCTGGAGTCCTTCGAGTGGCAGGTCAGCTCAGAGCTGTCTGATTCTTCCTACAACTCTCCTCATGACTCAAACTCATTTCTAACTGTCCCCTGTCCTCTCTGATCCACTGAGATGCTCCTCCCCCCTGCATCCTCGCGGCCAGAACAGGCGGCCTGGGCTGGAGGATGAAGCTGTAAGATGAGAGCTCGGAAAAGGCCCCTAGACCTGGCACAGGTTCAGCCCAGGGAGACGACATGGGAAACCACTTCTCGGTTTCAGGAGAGTCTTGAAGAAGGTCCAGTTTTCCATCAGCTGAAACCTGTTCCACGGTGGGAAGGAGACACCAGATCAGTGTGCTTCCTCCTCATCTGTGATCTGAGCCAACGAGGTTCCTTCACAGGCTCCTTCCCTCCATGCCTTTGTCACGGGGACTGTCCCCACCTGATTAATTGGATCTGCTTTGAACTGGGCATACATTCCTTTTGGGTTTGATTATTGCACTCTAATTGGTCCCAAAGATTAGCCGTTTAGGCTAGTTTTCGTTTCCCAAGGCCATGTTGACTAGTGCTGGCCTGGCTTGGGAGTCTGTGCCAACTTCTCTCAAATCCAACTTCAGTTCTTAAGAGCTCAACATGAGGGAAACAGCAGTTAGCGTAATGGCTATGTCGCTGGACTCCCACGTAGTCGACCGCGGTTCGCGTCCCGGACCCGGTGGCTTAAAACTCACGCCGGGCGCGTGTGCGTGCGTGCCCAAGATCCTGAGAGGAGAAGGGATTGCGGCGTGACCATCCCCCATGGGGGGTGATTTCTCGCTTTCTGTCTCTATGTCTCTCTCTGTCTGTCTGGTGAGCGCATGCACCCTATAGCGAAAACCTCTCCAAAAAAAAATCCAAAACAAAGCCAAAAAAAAAAAGAGTTCAACATGAGGGGGGCAGCAGGTGGTGTGATGGTTAAGGCTCTGGACTTCCACACTGTCGACTGTGGTTCAAGTCTTGGACTTGGCAGCTTGATCTCTCACTTCCTGTCTCTCTCTAGTTGAATTTTTTAAAATAATAATTGTACACAAAATCAAATAAGTAATTCTTTAAAAAAGAGAGCTCACCATGAATCAGAGCCCTGTCCCCTCATTCCTCTGGAAGGTGTGTTGTTAGAGGTACCTACAGGAAATGTCTGGTTATTGTGTTTACGAGAAAGGTCTACACTGAAGATGTAGGAGTCACTAAGGCATCAGAGGTGGTAGAGGCCATGAGTGTGGATGAAGAACCCTCAGAGGTTGGAGGGGTCAATGGTGTCAAATGCAGCCGGGAAGTCCAGCCAAGTGAGGTCTGAAGTAGGTTTGGCAACAGGGAAGTCACAGTTAAGAACAGCTCACTTGGGGGACCAGCAGGTGGCATGGTGGTTAAAGCATTGGATGTGTGTTGGTGGTCAAATTAAAAGAAATGAATGAAAAAATAAATAATTATTAAAAAAAAAAAGAGCAGCTCGTTTGTGGGGGGATGGTGTTATAGCAGTAAAATGCGATGCTCTGTGAGGCTGACCACATAGGACATAGACCTCCCCGAGTATGCTGTACCTGCCTGCCTGCCCATGACCCAGGGCTGGCTGGGGATGCACTGTTGCATAGAGAGCCTGTTGAGGGTGCTGTCTCTCCCTGTCTCTGTCTCTCATACTCATGGTAGAAATAAATAAACTTAAAAAACAAAAGCTCAGTAGGGCCAGCTGGCATGGTGGTTGAGTTACTGGTTTGCACATGGCCGACTGCATTTTTCTTTTTTTTGAGAGGTTTTCGCTATAGGGCGCGTGCACTCGCCAGACAGACAGAGAGAGACATAGAGACAGAAAGCGAGAAATCACCCCAGGGGGGATGGCCACGTTGCAATCCCTCCTCCTCCATTCTCCTCTTGGGATCTTGGGCACACACGCACACGCGCCCGGCGTAAGTTTTAAGCCACTGGGTCCGGGACGCGAACCGTGGTCGACTACATGGGAATCCAGCGACATAGCCATTATGCCAATTGCTGGTTCCCATGCCGACTGCACGTTTTGAGTGCTGGACCCAGCAGTGTGAGAAACATAGCAGGCATGTGTGCGAGTGTGCCCAAAATCCTGAAAGGCGAGAGAAACGAGAAGGGAGTGCAGTGTGACCTTTCCTGATGGGTGGTGCTTTCTTGCTTTTTAAGTCTGTCTGGTGAGCGTACACACTGTCTGGCAGAAACAAAACCAAAATGAAGAAGAGGGGGTGCTTTCTCCCTTTTCCTCAGTCTCTCACTGGTGAATGCATCTGCCCTCTGGCAAAATTAAAAACAAATGAGTGAGGGACCAGCAGGTGGCATGGTGGTTAAGTCGCTGAACACTCCCACATGGCCGACTGCGGTTCAAATACTGGACCTGGTGGCTTGCTTTCTCACTTTTTCTCTCTCTCTCTTTCTCTCTGTATCTCTCTCTGGTCAAATTAAAATAAATGAATGAATAAATAAAATAAAATAAATAATTATTTATAAAACAAACAAACAAACGACTGAATACCTCGGAAGCGTCTCTGCCTATGCTGACTGGCTACCCTCAGCACCTTGTTTTCATCTGTGTCTCTCTTAGCTGAAATGCCCAAATAAATTGCTAGTCTGAATCAGTGCAATACTTGGGATCTCCTTTAGTACCACAAAAACTACTGCAGAAAAAGGTTTTGGGTTCACATACAGTATTATTTTATGGTCTACCTTCATGTATTTAATTTGGTAGTAATGTATTAATAAGGTGGTAAGTATTTAAATTGTTTCAACCTCAGATAAATTTGGTTCTTTATGGTTAATACTAGTCCCATATCACTAAGCCCATTGGCAACAACTGGCTAGAGCGAGAATTGGTTACAGCCTCGCTTGCCCTCTCCGCTTCTATCAGAGTCCCTGATTTTTCTCAGCTTGTAGTATCACTCATTTTTTTTAGTCACCCCGCCCCAACAACGCTAGGTGCCTCAGGTGTTAATCATCACTCTAACCCTAGCTCCTCCAGCAATAGATTTGACAGCACTCTGACCATCTTCCTGATATCTCTCTCTGGTCAAATTAAAATAAATGAATGAATAAATAAAATAAAATAAATAATTATTTATAAAACAAACAAACAAACGACTGAATACCTCGGAAGCGTCTCTGCCTATGCTGACTGGCTACCCTCAGCACCTTGTTTTCATCTGTGTCTCTCTTAGCTGAAATGCCCAAATAAATTGCTAGTCTGAATCAGTGCAATACTTGGGATCTCCTTTAGTACCACAAAAACTACTGCAGAAAAAGGTTTTGGGTTCACATACAGTATTATTTTATGGTCTACCTTCATGTATTTAATTTGGTAGTAATGTATTAATAAGGTGGTAAGTATTTAAATTGTTTCAACCTCAGATAAATTTGGTTCTTTATGGTTAATACTAGTCCCATATCACTAAGCCCATTGGCAACAACTGGCTAGAGCGAGAATTGGTTACAGCCTCGCTTGCCCTCTCCGCTTCTATCAGAGTCCCTGATTTTTCTCAGCTTGTAGTATCACTCATTTTTTTTAGAGAGACTTTTGCTATAGGGCCGGAGAGATAGAAAACGAGAAATCACACCCCCCCCCGCCCCCAGGGAGGATAGCCATGCCGCAGTCTCTTATTCTCCATCCTTCTCTCGGGATTTTGGGCACACACACACGTGCACCGCATGAGTTCTAAGCCGCAGGGTCTGGTACTCCAACCGTGGTTGACTGCATGGGAGTCCAGTGACGTAGCCATGACATCATCTGCTGGTCCCTCTTCACTTACTTTTTGGCCTGAAAGCTTAATTATTGGATAAAACAAGTATCGCGTCCATTTATGCCATGCTTTTACATTTACTTACAAGGTACGTTCCGTCGTTTCCGTCTCGTACCGGCAAGGGAAGAGGACAGAACCTATCTCCGTCACTAGCGGGAAGGGCAGCGGTGGTGCGCGGGCTCCCCCTGCCGGCACCGGGCGCACTGCAGCCTGGCGGGTGCGCTGCCTCTTCCCCGCCTGTTAGGCTGTCGCTCCAAACCTCCCCGGTGCCGGCCGAGACCTGCGCAAGGCTTGCTGGGAAATGTAGTTGAGTGTTGGTAGTAGAACTACACATCGCAGCACGTACCGCGCTGCAACGCTGAAGGCGAAGGCGTTTTCTGACCAGTGTAAATTGCGCTCTTGCCCTGGGGAGTGCTGCACAGACCCGATTCGGTTTTAACCAGAGGAAGTTTGGAAATATGATGGGTCTGTCACTGGGCATATACAGGCCAACGTCTCTTTCCGCAGCGTCCTCGGTGTGGCGAATCTGCCCTGCAGAATAGCGGCTAGCCCTCGCAGGGCCCCAACGTGAAGTGTGTGGAATCTGCTGAAGGAGAAAAGACGCCAAGATTTCCTGCGCCCTTGCTGTCATGGCCGCCCCTTGCTTTCATGGCGGCAGCTGTCCCCGACGCCGGGGGCTCCACGCCCGAGGCGGCGGGGTCCCCCGAAGCCCCGCTGCAGTACAGCCTTCTTCTGCAATACTTGGTGGGTGACAAGCGTCAGCCCCGACTCCTGGAGCCTGGTATCTTGGGCGGGATCCCGAGCCCGGCCAAGAGTGAGGAGCAGAAGATGATCGAGAGGGCGATGGAGAGCTGCGCCTTCAAGGCAGCGCTGGCCTGCGTGGGAGGTGAGGCCAGGCTCGCGGGGCCCTTGGGCGGCCCGGAGCTTGGAGGGCTGCGGGGTTCTCCGCCAAGGAGCCCACCTGCCTGGGAGGCGAGGGACCTGTGCGCCTTGACCTTGATTGCTCCCCTGATCGCTGAGTGGAGCTGGGCCACTCCTGTCCCATCGGGGTGGGTCGGGGCCTGCAGGTTATAAAATGGTTAACCTCGTTCATTTGTTCACTCACTTATCATTCATTCAGCAAATTATTATTAAGCAACTGTGGTGTGCCAGATGGTGGGAATGTGGGCTGAAAGAGACATAGCCCTGTTCTCCTGAAGCTAGCGGTAGAATTAGAGAACGCTGTTGAGAAGGAGCCTGGCAGGAGAGTGCTGCAGACCTAGGGAACTGCAAATGCAGAGGTTCTTAGGTCGGATCTGCCTGAGGCCAGTGTGACTGGATAGCTTTAAGCGGGGGTGGGGAGGTGTGTAGGGGGTGTCGGGATTTGGCTTTTGAGAAACTGACCCTTTGAGAATTTGAGAGGATTTGAGAATGTTCAACAATACCTTCTGTGTGCAGGTAGAGAAGGTGACTATTTGCAGATGAGTTTAAATCTCTCTGAGAATGAAAGATATTTAAGAAACGAATATGTAAGAGTGCAAATAAAAAAAATTGTAGATAGATTTTCTTTTTCGGTTAGGAAAGGTCACAAGAAGAGCTAAGACAGAAGCTTTATCTTGAAGGATTGTAAAGATATGGGTAGACAAAGAGGGAGAAACATGTCATTTTTTTTTTTTTTGAGAGATTTTCACTGTAGGGCGCGTGCGCTCGCCAGACAGACAGAGAGAGACATAGAGACAGAAAGCGAGAAATCACCCCCCAGG